GAATACAGTGGAGTTTGTATAACCCACACTAACTTGGTTTATAAAACATCTCTTTAAACTCCTCCACCCCTCTCCCTATCTTAAAAAAAATTGGCAACATCACGGGCACTACACAAGCTATGAAATAACCACATAAGGTTTGAGTTATCCCGGTACTATTTAAAATCGATCTTCATTTCCATATGACAAGATGAAGTTCAGAACAGTTGCAAAAACACTGCTGCTCAGTGATTTCATTAAGATTGTTTATTAGATGCTGTTGTGCCAAGGAAGCCATCTTACCTTTGAATTACTTCCAATTCAAAGCAGATACATCCAAGCACCAAAAACAGCACAGAGACCTGTCAATTCAGATCCAATTCCTAAGCTGGATCTGAACTCTTATCTCTGAAAATTATGCAAGGGAGGAACGGTTTGGGCCTTTCAATGTCCCCAGATGCCTAGACCGCCTGAATGCCTGGGGACTTTGCGTTTGTTTTGTAAATTGTAATTAATGCACTCTAGCTTTAAGGGGCTGCAAAGGGTCTGTACTAAAGAACACAATACAAAGAAGGGAGGGGAAAAAAACCACTAAATGAGAGGATCTTAAGAATATTCATTGAGTCTTCCTAACCACTGATTGTGGTATTCCTGATTATCCCCATCGGAAAAATGAGGAAATCAAGGCTCAGCCAAACGAAGTCACCATCCCAAGGTCACGCAGAAGCAGCAAAATTTGTTGGAACTCAGGCCGTTCGGATGCCAAAACTTGAGACACGCGCTGGCTCCCCAGAACCGGTGGCGTCTGCAAGACCCCGCGGAGGTTTCCCCCAGTGGCGTGGGAGCCCGACTGTCAGGAGCCGGGAAATCATCCGCCGGTGCACTGGCGGGTCTCGGCGGAGGGAAGCGGCGAAGGTCGCCCACTCCGGCCAGGGTTCCCGGGCGGAGCGGCGGGGCTCTGGGTGGCGAGGGGTGCAGGGGGAAGCGGAGGTGACACCTGCAGCCTCCGGGGGCCGCAGCGGGGAGGACGTTCGCATTTTACTTCTGTAATTGGCCTTCCTGCGGATTGCCCAAGCCCCTTCCTGTTGAAGAAGCTGCCCCGGCCTCGAGCCCGCCCCCTCTCCGCGAGGCCTGGGACTGAAGGGGCGACAGGGGCGAGGGGCGAGAGGGAGGGGAGGGCGGCGGCCCCCTGCCCGCCCGGCTCTGACAGGCCCGGGACGGCTCCCGCCCCAAGGCTGCCCCAGTTCCTCCTAGATGCGACCCGGGGCATGGGGCGCGGGGCCCGGCCGCCAGGAGCCGCCCGCCCCGTGGGGGCGGCCCCGGGGCAGGGGTCCCAGTCTGGGGAGCGGAGGGGAGAGGGCCCGGCCGGGGGACTCACCCGGCCCGCTGCAGTCAGCGCACACGTCGCTGCTCCGGAGCCGCTTCGACATGGCTCCCGCCTCCTACCTGCCGGGCACCTGGAGCCCCGGGACAGCGAAGGCGGCGGCAGCCACAGCGCTTCCGCTCTAACGGGTCCCCACCGCGGCGCTGGCGGCGGCGCCTCTCCCCTCAGCGCCTCGCAGCCGCGGCGCAGCACGCACGCGTGGGGAGGCGCCCTTCGGCGTCGGGCAGTCACGTGACCGGGAAGGGCACGCTGCCTGGTCGCCGTCTTGAGTGAGGGCAGCTGGGCACGCCGGCACCTTCCGACCTGCTTGTGAATCTTGCATTTGAGTCTCCCGCCCTGGGGGACCGGCGCTTCACCTCAGCGCTGAATAATGCCAGAGAAAGGAGCAAAAATCTGTTGACCGGAACTCTGTAGCCACAACCTCAGCGAGGCCATCAAAGTCACCGGGATAACTTGGGCCAAGTTCACGCGTGTGTTCGTTCCTTTGTTCAGCAGATATTTATTGAGCACCTACTATGTTCCACACACTGTTCCGGGCACTGAAGCAACAGCAGTGAGCAAAGAAGACAGAATAGCCTGGCCTTATGGAACTTATATTCTACGGCCATTTGTAGACTTGCAAGAAAATAAAATGCATGAGATGTTAGCTGTTTCTTTAGGCTGCAGTTTTAGTCTCATCAGTAAAAATGGAGATAATGTGCTATCTACCTCTGAACTTCGATTTGCTTTGGCATGGCCTGCTACCTAAGAATGATTTTTATAATTTTAAAGGGTGGTGAAGAAGAAAAAGAGGAAGAGGAAGAGGAAGAAGAATAGTCAGCAAAACTCATGTGTGACCTGCAAAACTAAATATTTCCTATCTGGCTAAGGACAGATAGAATAACTCACAGAAAAGTGTGGTATGCCTGTCCCATAGTAAGTCCTCGGTAATAGTGACTCTTATGATTATTGGTATTTGGTATTACTATTATTTTCTAGTCATAATTTGTTTTTAGAATAAGAATAGGTAACCTAGAGTAATTTACAGGATTCTGTGAGATAAACACAATGAGATGAATTTAATCAGTATGAAGAGAAGCTCGGTGGCCCTAATGCTAATGAATATTTATTGTATGGGTTATATGTGTCAACTGAGCACAAAAAAAGTTGAGAGGCTTTGAGTACAAATAAATGACAAAGATTTATTCACAGGTCTTAAGATTTGCAAATCATAAACACTACCAGGTAACACCTAGAACGTTTTAAAGAAAAGAGAATAGTTGACAGTTCTTATCATAAAAAGTACATTCTGTAGAGGAAACAGTCCTGCATTCTTAGCTTCTGGGTTGGTTTGAGATAGTGATCTTCCAGATGTCAGGTGGTCTAGACACCTTCGTTCTTTTTTTTAATCCTCACCTGAGGATACTTGTCCATTTATCTTCAGATAGAGTGGGAGGGAGGGAGAGATGTGAGAGAGACACATAGACTGGCTGCCTTCTGCATGATCCCAGCCAGGGCTGGGGACGAACCACAACCCAGGCACGTGCCCCTGACTAGAATCAAACCCGCAGGTTGATGCTCCAACCTCTGAGCCAAACCGGCCAGGGTTCATTCTTTTTTTAAAATCCTCACCCAAGGATATTTTTCCATTGATTTTTAGAGAGAGTGGAAAGGAAGGACAGAGAGAAAGGTAGAGAAACATGATGTGAGAGAGACACACCAATTGGTTGCTTCCCACATTGGGTCAGGGATCGAACCTGCAACCCAGGTACATGCCCTTGACCAGAATCAAGGGCCGATGCTCTAACTGCTGAGCCAAACCAGCCAGACCAGCCAGGTCCTATGTTCCTCATTCTTTCCTAAGTCCTTTAGAGCAGTGGTTCTCAACTTTCCTAATGCGGTAACCCTTTAATACAGTTCCTCATGTTGTGGTGACCTCCAACTATAAAATTATTTTCATTGCTACTTCATAACTGTAATTTTTCTACTATTATGAATCGTCATCAGAAATATGTGTTTTCTGATGGTCTTAGGCGACCCCTGTGAAAGGGTCGTTTGACCCCCAAAGGGGTCGCGACCCACTGGTTGAGAACTGCTGTTTTAGAGGGTTAACTATAGGAATTTCTATCTACAGGCATTGGTGAGTAACTGAAAAATTCAAAAGTTTAAGTCCTCTGCCCCGACTTGATCTTGTTTTCTTCACTCATTCCTCATATGTAAACACAGCTATGAGCTCCATTCGGCAAATATTGGATGCCTCTTATGGGCCAGGTACTGTTTTGACTTTAGATATTCTGGCAAGCAGCCATTGTGGAGTTTTCCAACTAATGAATGAGAGATGTTCAATGAACATGGGATGAAGAAGAGAAAAGATTAAGTTGCACAAGCATTCTGAAAGGATAGGAAGTCCTGGAAGAGGTTTCAGAAGCTCTGGTCTTGGGTCCATCTCTCCATTTTGATAAATATGTAGTGTGGGCATAACCACATAATTCTCACACATTCCACAGTTAGAGCCTCCGGGTACCATCCTGATGCTCCGGTGTCCAGTTTTGGATGGCAGATTCACAAATCTGGACTCAACACATGCAGAGAATGGATTAGGCCAGCATTCTTGAACAGCTGTTGTTGTAGGCGTCTGAAAAGCTGGATGTGCACAAGCAGGGAAGGCAGAGAATAAGCTTTCTGGACACATTAAATAACTTCACCCAGCTATGTGGTCTAGCTGTAGACAGCTGTGTAGAAAGCTCAGGCTGGTGAGTTGCTGTGAATTGACTTGCTTCTTCATTGAATCAAGGACCTACAGTGTCTTAGGTTGGAACTCAAGGAATGAACTTTATACTTGCCCACTGTGGTTAAGTCTGGGTATTGTCTATTAGTCCTTTCAGCCTATCTTCAAATGGCTATCTTCAGAAATAAATGACACTCATATGTGGAATAAACCACCACATAGGTAACTGAATCATAACCTAGTTTGTGGAGTTCAGACAGGACAGTAGTTTTCAACTGGGGGTGATTGTCCTCCTCCAGGGGACAATTGGCAGTGTCTAGAGATTTTTGGGGGGAGTGCTACTGGCATCCAGTGGGTAAGAAGGCCAGGGATGCTGCTGCTTAATATCCTAAAAAGCACATGACAACCCCCACAGAAAGAATTATCTGGTCCAAAAATGCCCTTCCTTGAGAAACCATGAGCTAGAACTATCTCCATATGATGCACTTATTTAATGCCACTTCTTCAAGGTTTAATAGTTCCCCCTTCAAAACTGTTTGATGTTGCCCACTTCCAAAATGGAAGCATCTGCCCAGGTCCAAAAAGGCTGCAAGGAAGTCAGTAGCTGGAATGGTTTGGCCCAGGCGCTGCTGTCACCCCCTGACCGCAGAGTCGTTGGAAGTAGCCCAGTTGTGGACCGAACCATATGAGGTTGCTGGAGCAGGGGAAAGGGACTGGTGACGGGTAGACTGAGTTTTCCATGGCCGGATCCTGGGCTAAGAGAGAGAATTTTAAGGCCTTTTGGGGACTACACTGCGTCGCCCGGTGTGAAGTTGGACGTGGGTGGGGTTGGGCGGACCCTCAGCCGGGTGGCGGGTCTCGCGAACTCCCCCGCCGCGGCCTGCGGTGGCTCGCTCCCGGCACTTCCCGGTTTGGGGCAGTTCGGTCCGCAGAAGTCGGTTCGGGAGCTGTCAGCGCGGGCAGCAGTGCGGCGGGCGCGGGGTGGGCGCGGCCGACCGGGTCCGGGACCCGACCCCCGACCTCCCGCGCGCCCCGCACCTGGCCCGGTAGGCCGCTTGGCCGCGTGCCGCGCCCCTCACTCGCTCGCCCATCTCTCTCGCTCGCCAGCCGCCGGGCGGGCGGGCGCCGGAGACCCTGCGGGGGCTGAGGCTTGGCAAGCGGGCGGTGAGGGCCCGGCTGCGGCCTCCTCGCCATGTCCTCGGCCCGCGACACCAGCGGCCACTTCCCTTTGCACCTCCTGGTCTGGAACAACGACTACCGGCAGCTGGAGAAGGAGCTGCGGGGCCAGGTGAGGGGCGGGGCAGGGGTCCGCCTCCGGCGAGGGGAGGTGGGGGAAATCCGTTTAGGCTCCCTGAGCCCTTCTCCAGCCCTCTGTCCTCGGGGCTCCGCAGACCCCCTTCAATTCTTTGGTCGTGGGGGCAATAATCATAACAGGACATGGGTTGAGTGCTTACTGTGTGTCAGGCCCTGTGCCGAGAGCTTTATTTCATTAACCCTTTTTTTGACTTGGCAACACGTCTAGGAGGTAGGTGCTATGATTATGACATTTGAAAGAAGGGGAAACTGAGGCGCTCGGAGGTTACGTGCCTTGCGCAAGGTCGCCCCCCTATTCAGTACCAAGTCGGGATTTGAACTGTGGCCGGCTTGTTCCCGAGCGCACCGTCTTAACCAGTTAGGCTCGTCTGCCTCTCCCAAAGGGGTCAGAGCAACACGCACCCTCACCCCATCCGCGCTTTTTGTAAGAAAGGGCTTGGTTGGGTTTGGAGTCCAGGTCCTAACTCGCCCTGTGACCTTGGGCAAGGCGTTTTCCTCTCTGGCCCAGAGAGACTGATATATACCAAAGTTTGAGCATCACCAGGGCCCAGGATCCTTAAAATCCCTTCCTGTTTTGAATGAAGTACGTTGATTGATTCCTTGTCTTTTATTTATCGCCATCACTTTAAAGCAGTGGTTCTCAGTTGGGAGTGATTTTGACCCCAGCTGCTCCGAACGGCAATGCATTTAGACATTTTTGGTCCTTAGGAGTAGGGAGTGGGTGCTCCTGGGATCTAGTGGTAGAGGCCAGGGATGCTGCTCAGCATCCTGCAGTACCAAGATAGTCCCCGCTCCCCGCAACTAAGAATTATCTGGCCCCAAATGTCAGGAGTGTTTTGCTTGAGAAGCCCTGCTTTAAAGGCATCTCAACAATTCAAAGAATTGTTGAGGTGCCTTCAAGTTACAAGCTAATAAACTTAATAGTTAGAATAAGGATTTGTAGTTATTTGGTATAATTGTTCTTGGTTGACTTCATTTTATCCAGTCCTGGTTTTTGAATGGATCAGAATTGACACTCTAATTGTCAAGGAATTTTGGATGAAAGGAGCATTGGTAGTCTTTTGGTTGGTGAAAATTAAGCAAAGTCAGCATCACCTTGTTGGTGAAGTTACTGCTAAGCCTGTTCTTGCATCCTGCCATGTTTCTTTTAAATCTATTGAGCACCCACTGGAAGTCAAAAGTCGCTTTTTTTTTCATTTAAGTCCTCCATCCAGTTAGAATAAACCTTTATTGTAAAGTCATTGGTCTTAATTAGATCATGCCCCCAGAGTAAATGATTCACCATTAGACATCCCAGTATACCTGATTATTTAATTCCCTTTCTGTTACAGAGAGAGTACTCTGTCATTTGCTTTTAACTCTAAGTATCACTTTGGACATTTTAAAAACAACTGGACAGCCCTGGCCGGTTTTGCTCAGTGGTTAGAGTGTCGGCCCACGGACCAAAGAGTTTGGGGTTCAGTTCCGGTTAAGGGCTCATACCTCCACTGAGGTTCAGTCCCCGGCCCTGGTCGAGGTCGTGTGGGAGGCAGTCAGTTGATGTGTCTCTCTCTCTCTGTCTCTCTCCCTTCCTTCCTTCCACTCTGTCTGAAGATCAATGGAAAAAAATATCCTCAGATGAGGATTAAAAGAGAAAAAAGAAAAACAACTGGACAGTTCTGGTTTTTAGGTTGGCTGTGTTTTGCATCTGCACTTCCTCAGTATTGGGGCGGTCCAGCTTCTTGTGAAATGTCAAGATAAAGTACAAAGTCACATAACTAATAAGAGAGTCTCCTCCATCATTGAACCACACGCTATTTCAATACTGATTTCTGAAAACAGCCCACTTTCTAGTCATCAGAGGTGGAAAAAAGAGTTCAAATAAACTGCAGTGTGTCTTGATAGGAAAACTTATTTGATAAGAACAAAGTCTTGGTTAATACTCCATAATGTGACATGGTTGAATTATTTCTTTATCCTGCAAGCTGTGATAAAAGTGTTCATTGAAAGTTAATTCTCTGTGACTCTTAACTTGAAAAACATTCAGGACATTTGTGACTAGAAAATTATAATTTTGCAGCATATTTTCCTGGAGTGACTTGGTCCTTAACACCTTCAACTGTCAAGAAGGTCAAGGAAGACTATTTATACTTGCTAGATATTTGTTTTTGACTTTGTTATTGGTTATCGCTGTAGATCATTTCACGGCATACCTGTTCCCTTTGGGGAAGAGGTAAAGTGTATTCACAAAGAACATCTTGACTATGAAAGCTTGACTGTCATGACTACACAATCCAGTTTCATACTGAAAGTTGGCCATTGAAAGGGTGGAGATGGGCTGGCTTCAAGGGCATGCTACCTTGTGCTCAGAAGGGACTGGTGATTGATTTAATGCTCTGCTATTACTGTCCTGAAATTCATAATCAGTTTTTGTTTTTTTTAATCCTCACCTGAGGATTTTTTTTTCATTTTTCTTCAGATAGAGAGAAACATTGATTTGAGAGAGACACATCGACTGGTTGCCTCCCACATGACCTCGACCAGGGCCAGGGACTGAACCTCAACTGAGGTATAAGCACTTGACTGGAATCGAACCTGTGATTCATTGGTCCGCAGGCCGACACTCTAACCACTGAGCCAAACTGGACAGGACCATAATTAGTTTTTGGGTAAGGGGACTTGCATTTTCATTTTTCACTGGGCCCTGCAAATTATGTAACTGGTTCAAGGTCAAGAAGTTGATAATTGGTATTAAAATATGAGGCAGGAAATAGATTATTGCTTTCATATTTGTTGAAATCCTCTGTTAATTATGAACCAGCTACTTACTTCTGTGACTTAAAGGCATTTGAGTTAATGGCCAGTACTGATGCTTATTAAGTTGTGAGAATGGGTAAGTTATTTACCATTGCTGAATTGTTTTATCTCCTGTAAAAATGGGGAGAGTAACACTGAAAGCTTACTGTTTTGCCAGGTGCTGTGCTGAAATATTTTATATGCAGTTGTAGATTTAATTCTTACATCAATCCTCTGGGGGTGGGTGCTATTATGATTCCCATTTTACAGATTAGGAAACAGGTGGAGAGGCTCTGTTGTATGCTTAGCGAGTGACTAAACCAGGATGTGAACCCATTGGACGCTGCCCTAATCCTGTATTCTTTTTTTTTAAATATATTTTTATTGATTTTTTTAGAGGGAGAAATAGAAATGTTAATCAGCTGCCTCCTGCATGCCCCACACCAGGGATCGAGCCTGCAACCCAGACATGTGCCCTGACCGGAAATCAAACTGGGACCTCTCAGTCCATGGGATGATGCTCAATCCACTGAGCCACACTGGCTGGGCTAATGTTGTATTCTTGTCCTTCTGCTATACTTCTTTGACTAAAAGTGCCTTCATTTCGGGGTTCTGGAAAATAAGGCAGAGAACATGTGAAAATGCAGGCACATAGTAAGTGGGCACAGTACCATTTGCCATATTTGCTGCTGTTATTATGATGATCATCCTGGGTATTTATCTTCTTTTATGTATGTTCCAGTTTTTCTACAAAGAACCCGTATTGGTTGCATAATTAAAAAAAAAAAAAAATTCCTACTACCCCAGCAATAAAACCAGCTGTTTCACTTAATGTTTTATTTGCCAATAAGTTTCTGCTATCCATTTCTTCATTCCTTCCATTCCATGAGTGAGACTTGAAGCACGCACGCTGGTAGCTATAAGAATTTTATTTTGCTTTAGGAACAGAAGCACAAAAAGAATCAAGTTTGTCCAGATGAAACTGATAAGTATGTACTTCAAAGTAGGTGTGAGTCAGCCCCCAACCCACCATCTTGCTAATAGCTGGAGTTGGCTGTTTAGTAACTAACTTTGTCAACTATGAGATTGTTTCAAGCTTTCAACATTTGCTCAGCAGAGGCACTTTATTAAGTGCCTTTTAACCCATCAGTTTTACTGTCTTTAATATTCACTGGGGCCTTGAAGTTGATTGGTGCAGTTGAAATGATTTGTGTTATGGTTATGTCATTTGTCATTTAGCGAGAGAGGTCTGTTAAACATCTTTGGCCTTCTTACTGATGCTGGGAGAATGAATGAAAACTTAACTGATACTGGGAGAATGAATGAATGAAAGGGGACAAACATAAAGGTCTATCAGTGTACCTTAGTCAGGGAAGGGAAAACCCTGGGACTGAGTGGGGTAGAGGGTGGCAGATGAGGCCTGACACTAGGGCCAGCCTCCTGTTAGGTACCAGCAGGTAAAAGCACAAAATTCAGGCAAGAGGAAGAGAGCTGTCTAGGCAGCAGCAGTACTTGGAGCCTGACAGTGAACCATCCTGGGGTGCTCACCCCAGCTTGTGGCAAGGCTGGGTGAGGCCACTGGGCACACATCCAAGTCAGTGCCTGTTGGCCTTCTGTGAGACAGCGGCTGGGCATCGAAGATAAAGAGCCGAGAGCCAACTCTCAGATGCTCCCCCTTGGCCCTTAGGAACTCAGGATCACCTTAGGGAACCAGGCCTATGGATACCTCCCCCCCGCCCCCTTCCCCTGGAGTGAGGAACCAGTTCAGGCCACAGCTGCAGAGGACCAGGGCAGTCTGAGACTGCCCAGGAATTAGGTTGGTTGCCCACAGCACCCCCCCAAGAGGTAACAGTGATAGTTTATAAAGTACTTATTTTGTGCTGGTACCAAGGCACATAAGGGTTGAGTAATTCACTAAAGGCTATGAAAGGACCGGAAGTGGGCCTAATGTCTAGTTCTGCAGCCTGCATTCAAAGCTCAGCCTTTTATGGCCTCCGGAGGACAGCAGGATGGTAGAGAAGGCTTTGAGCAAGAAAAGTTGGTGGACTTAAATTAACAAATAGGAAGGAGATATGCAGAAATTTCATTCAATTTCTTTTCTTTTTAATAATTGAAGTGTTTAAAATTGAAGTGTTTTATTTTATGTACAAAGAGATAGCATTCTGTGGTAAGGTAGATGTCTTGAATGGCCCATTCATG